TTTTCAACGACTATTTCACCAGAAGGCTGCTGTTTTAGAAATCTGAAAATTACTAATCCATTTGTGGTCCACAAAGCAATAACTGCATAATCATTGAAGGAAAACACTTTAAGAATTATCAATAGATGCAGTATTATACTAATTTTTAACTTGTTTAAAATAATAGAGTTTTCCTTGCAAGTTAAATCCAAGAAATTAATGCTACCCGAATTGGGAAATGCATGCTACAGTCACACACTTACCAAGATTTATGAGCCAGAATGAACATTAATCATATTATTTATCTTATTTTAACACTGCTCAGTATTATACATATTTTGCATAACATTTTCATAATGTTAAATATACACCATTAATATACACTTACTTTTATTTTATTGACAAAATTCATTAAACTGCTTTAATTTTCTTTGATTTTTGAAATTTTTGTTTATTTAGCATAATTTATAGATTTACAATATTTTACTGTTTTCTCTCTTTTGCATTTATTGCAACAGTAAAATATGTAAAAGCTGAGGCACCTCGGTGGCTTGGTCGGTTAAGCGTCTGACTTCGGCTCAGGTCATGATCTCATGGTCCGTGAGTTCGAGCCCCGCTGCTGAGAGCTCAGAGCCTGGAGCCTGTTTCGGATTCTGCGTCTCCCTCTCTCTCTGCCCCTCCCCTGTTCATGCTCTGTCTGTCTCTGTCTCAAAAATAAATAAAAATAAACGCTAAAAAAAAATTTAAAAAAATATGTAAAAGCTTACAGGAGAGAATTTAGATAGTCCACTCGTTCATAACTGAATTTGTGTTGAAACACACCATACTATCTGCTAAGGGTTATGTCACCACCAATATATTTTTTAAATGTATTTATTCAAATTCAAGTTAGTTAACATGCAGTGTAGTCTTGGTTTCAGGAGTAGAACCCAGTGATTCATCTCTTACATATGACATCCAGTGCTCATCCTAACAAGTACCCTCTTTAACGCCCATCACCCATTTAGCCCACTCCCGCACCCACTTCTCCCTCAGCAACTCTCTTTGTTCTCTGTATTCAAGAGCCTTTTATGGTTCGCCTCCCTCTCTGTTTTTGTCTTATTTTTCCTTCCTTTCCCCTATGTTCCTCTGTTGTGCTTCTCAAGTTCCACATATGAATGAAATTAAATATTTGTCTTTCTCTGATGGACTTATTTTGCTTAGCATAATACACTCTATTTCCATCCATGTTCTTGCAAATGGCAAGATTCCATTCTTTTTCATCGCTGAGTAGTGTTCCATTACACACACACACACACACACACACACACACACACACATTACATATAATATATATATATATTCTACATCTTCTTTATCCATTAATCAGTCAATGGGCATTTGGGCTCTTTCCATAATTTGGCTATTGTTGACAGTGCTGCTCTGAACATTGGGGTGCATTTGTCCCTCTGAATCACCATTTTTGTATCCTTTAGATAAATACCCGTAGTACAATTGCTGAGTCGTAGGCTAGTTCTATTTTTAATTTTTTGAGGAACCTCCGTATTGTTTTCCAGAGTGGCTGCACCAATTTGCAGTTACCACTGATATTTTAAAATAGGTTCAAAAGTCAAATGCAAGTAAATGTAAATTCTGTGCATTTGCGTTAAGCTAAGACACAGATGCAACTAAACAGTACAGCGATTTTTAGTCTATAAAAGAGATCAATTTTTATACCCTGATCGTAAAAATTCTTAACACAATTACCAAAAAGTTAAGATAAGTGTTTTAAAGGGCATAGTTTTGGATATAGTGCAAATCAATTTTCAATGCTTTGCTCTTACAAATTTACAAGTAGTAAAACAATTCCTTCTCTTGTCTTCACGATTACTGGTTAACAGAGTTAGCAATTATGTTATCACACTTATCCATCCAAGAAAAGAGCAGAATGAATAGCAAGGTGTTGCTACACAGTTCCTCGAGATGGAAGGGATGGGAACGAAATGAGCTTCTGGAACATAGCAGGTACAGATGTTAACGCTCTCCTGTTTTGGGTGGGACAAATACCATTCGAGCTTATATGAAATGGATCGCTTTTCCTCCGTGTCCTCACCCAAGGAATGCCGTGCTAACTGAATGTGAAGTTTGTACGAACCGGTTGTTGGAAGACCGCTGGAAAATATGGCTGCCTTCGAGTCTGAGATGAGTGTGGTTGTGTCCATATTTGTCTTCTGCAGTGACCACTATATCTCGTTGCCGATTGCCTTTCTTACTTTGTCCACGTGAGCATGAAATGCTACGAATTAAGGGATTGCCTTCTGAAAGTGTGTAAAAGTCAGTAGCCTAAGATTAAAAAGTTACTTCCAATTAAACCCAAAGGGTGAACACTTACTAAGCACCTCTTTGATTCAGAACTATCTACTAACACTTCTTGCTTGTGAGCAAGCTTGGGTTTGGGCGCTGTTTCCTTTTATTCTCCAAGAACCCTATGAGGCAGGTGGTGTTAGCTTGTGTTGAAAAGTAGAAGAGCTTATGAATGTTTCAGTCACAAAGCCAATAATGACATACCCGAGGCTTCAGCTTGGTTGCCATGATTGGAATCTTTTCCTCTCCCCTACCTGAGGAGCGGGTCCAAAACTTCAGCCCTTCCAGAACCACAGTGCTCCCGACGGTTGGCAGGACGGACATCACCGACAGACGGCATGCTGTGGGGTAGCAGCCACAGGTGCTCCCGGCTTCGTCAGCTATTCCTTCGCTCTCACATTTATTTGCTAAAATGAAACAAAAGTAAAGAAAAAATACATTCAAAGCCATTCGTTATTAGCATCGGCACTATTGTTATTATTACTTTAGAAGGAAAATAATTTAGGTTCGAGGTGAATGGTGGGAATTTCTAGGGTAGTTGTGGGATTAAAAAGATGAAGGAGAGGGGGCGCCTGGGTGGCTCAGTCGCTTAAGCGTCCAACTTTGGCTCAGGTCATGACCTCACGGTCCATGAGTTTGAGCCCCGCATTGGGCTCTGTGGTGACAGCTCAGAGCCTGGAGCCTGCTTCGGATTCTGTGCGTCCCTCTCCCCCTGCCCCTCCCCCACTCACACTTTGTCTCTCAAAAATTAATAGATGTTAAGATTTTTTTTTTAATGAAGGAACCAGTACAGTAAAACAGTAAGAAGTTGGTTGCTTTGCTAGAGTATACAGGGACATAAAAACATCCAGAAACCTAGGGTCACCCCATACATGTCAACCGAGTCGTGGTTGGAGACTAGTGGCTGGTGGGCTTTGGAACCAGATAGATCTGGGTTTGGTCCCTGACCCCACTGTGTATAGCGGTCTTTAAAATTGGGATGATAGGACCTACCCGACAGAGTGGCTGTGATGTTTGAATGACTCACGCATGGAAAAATTTAGCACAGTGCCTGGCAGGTAGCAAGCACTCAAGAAACGTCAGCCACTGTCAAACCTTCTGGAAGTGGAAAAGAAGGGTTGTATCTACTTAGAGCCTAAGCTCATGAAGATTTTGCAAGACACAGACGATTCTCATCAGGTGCCAGAAGTTTCCGTCTGTTATCTCATTGTCTCCTTGTATTACACCATGTGGGCTCGTCGCCGTGGAGCAGATGAGACCTGAGTCTCAGAGGTAGACACTTCCCCGCACAGCTGAAACTCACACCCCACCTGTGGGCCCCAGGTCTGCAGCATTTCCACAGCACCACATCGACCCACAGAAACCAGCTGTGAAAAAGGCAAGCCAGGATAAGAAGACGGGGCCGATGGCAATGGTGAGTGCCCTGAGAAAGAGAGAGCAGTGTGAGCCGATGGGATCAAGAAAGGGGTCCGGGCCCTAGGCCAGAGGGGAGAAGATTAAAGCATGTGTTTAGACTAAGGGAAAGGTGAGCGCTCTTCTTCAAAGTTCAGTCCCATGCCCTAACCCCTGGTCAGAAGAGTGCCTTGTGTTCACTTGGAAGCCACGTCCTTCTGAGTCAGTTGATGTGACAACTGTTCTCTGCTCTGGGCTCGCTGCAGCCCTGAGAAAGGCCTCAGTTAGCCTGAGAAGGGGAACTGAGTCAGGACAGAGAACCACTGCCTGTCCCCGCGGGGCCATCCATCACTGCTTCGTACCCAGGCTGGGGAAGCCCGGGCCGACTTCTGAGCCCAGACACTTGCAGCCAGGCTGTGACAGAACATTTATGAGAAGCCCGTAGGGCAGCCTGGCCCCAAAGCTCCGCCATCCCCGCTGGGAAGGGCAGACACTGGAAGTGGAGAAGGTGGGACAGATTGACTTCTGGAGGGTCTGCTGTCTGAGAAATGGTGTTGGGTCGATGAAGTGGCTGCATCCTTCCTTCAGAGGAATAACAAACGTGTGACGCCAAAGAGCCGGTCGGTGTTCCAGGAAGGACGTGAATATTCATAAAATATTAGAGCTAGAAGGAGATTCAGTGAGCACTGTACTCATTTCCCTCATTTTCTTGCAGAGGAAACAAGGGCTCAAGGGGACAAAAGTGACATGCCCAAGGTCATGTAGCAAATAGTGAGTCCCTCTCCAGGCTAGAATTTCAGTTTTGTTGGTTCTTAATCTAGCCCATCGTTAGCTCAGAGTTAGAGTGCATCAAAACAATCTGGAGAGCTTATTCAAAACACTGTTATTCAAAACAGGTGTTTCAGGCTTCACCCCAAATATGTCTTTAGTGTAACTGGGGTGGGGTTCCAGAATCTTCATTCATTTTGAGGCTCATGCTTGCCAAGCTCAAACTTTGGGAAAAACTTTTCTCTCCTGCATGAAGGAAAATGGTGCCGTTTTACCCAAGAAAATATCATAAAGGATGCAAGGAAGGATTAGGTAGGTATTTTAACAAAACGTCAAAGAGCAAAATGGTTCTCTCCTGTGTGCCGACCCCTCCCAGAGCCCCGTGTAGCCACTGCATGTGTCTCAGAGCTGAAATAAGGTACGTGGGCCAAGTTCAGCTGCTGCCCTCTCCTTTCAGGGTGGTCAGGAAACACGCTGACGTTTGTCAAGAACTGACTGCAGCAACGGATGTCCATGGTTACACAGCGAGCATTCTTCCCGAGAGCAGCTCCCAGAAGGGCCTCCGATACGTTGAGCCTCACGCTAAAACACAAAGCCGTGGTGGATGGTAAGAGGATATACCGAGAAAACCTTTGGAAGTGACCCCTTTTTCTTTGGCAAGTGACAAAAGGAAACACTCCTTTTAGATCCTCTGTAATTCAGAAACCACTTGGGTGGCATGTGTGCTTTAAGAAAGGGCAAGGGGATGGGGCGCCTGGGGGGCTCAGTCGGTTGAGCGTCCGACTTCGGCTCAGGTCACGATCTCGCGGTCCGTCAGTTCGAGCCCCGCGTCGGGCGCTGGGCTGATGGCTCAGAGCCTGGAGCCTGCTTCCGATTCTGTGTCTCCCTCTCTCTCTGCTCCTCCCCCGTTCATGCTCTGTCTCTCTGTGTCTCAAAAATCAATAAACGTTAAAAACAATTATAAAAGAAAGGGCGAGGGGAGACCTCTGACACAGATTTCTCTTGGTTACTACGCTCTGTCTAAATTTCTCGCTTTCTATTCCAGTTTCTTTCTTTTTTTAAGTTTATTTGTTTTTTTGAGAGAGAGAGAGAGAGAGAGGGTGCAGCATGAGTGGTGGAGGGTCAGAAAGAGAAGGAGAGAGAGAATCCCCAGCAGCCTCCTTGCTGTCCTCACACGGAGACTGACACGGGGCTCAATCTCACAGACTGTGAGATCACGAGGTCTTAGCCAAACTCACGAGTCAGGCACTTAACCGCCTGAGCCATCCGGGCACCCCTCCATTCTGTTTCTAATGCTCTCCACAAGGAGCTGGGCCATGAGGAATGACTGGGAGCATGGGTGTGGGGATCAGATGGGTGGGTGTTCTCATCTTGGACCACCATATTGGTGATCTTGGAGATTCCGCCTCTCTGGTTTGCATTTCTCCAAGTACCTTTTCAGTGGTGCCTCTACTGATATGTGGATGTAACGATTCCAGGTGAGGTGCTCAATATGTGGTCCCTCAGGCCCACACCCTTAGCGCACTCTTGGACTCTCACAGCTTACAATTTCCACAGTTCTACCTATGTTCTCACACTTCACCTTCACCCCTACCCCACCCTGGTCGAAGACTGTCTTTCTTCTCCTGGGCTGTTGCAATGGTTTCCTAATTGGTTTCCATTCTTCTGCCCTTGCCTTGCTCCTTCTGACTTTTCTCAGCAAGGCTAGAGCACAGCACTCTTTTGCTCAAACCCTCCTCTGGCTTCCCCACACGCGCACTCAGTAAAATCAGTCTTACCTACAGTACCTGCAGAGCCCCACGTAATTTGTTCCATCCCTCATCTAAAGATGACTGTCTTCATCTCCCACTACCCCCTCCTCTCACCTTCTCCTTTCGGCCACTCGGGCCTCCTTGCTCTTCCTCAAACACGCCAGACGTCTACCTCAGGCCATTTGCACTCCCTGTCCCTTCTGCTTGGATCACTTTCCCTTCAGGTATCGGCACATCTCACTGTCTCACTTTTTAAGTGAGATATTCTCTGCAACCCTATTTAAAACGGCATCCCCACCCAACACTCTCTACCCTCTTCCCTCATACTTTCCTTTTTAGCACAGCCATTATCACCACCTTTCATAGAATAGATTTTGTGTATTTGTCCTATTGGCTGCCTGTTTCCTATCACATCGTGGGAAATCTGACGCACAAACATTTGCTGAAGGAATAAATAACCTATAGTTGTTTTCGTTTCGACAAGTTGGATAAGTCAGCAGCAGGCAACCGTGGAAACCTTTAAGTGAGAAGGATTTTGGAGAAGTGATCATTGTTGGTAAGTTGTTGTATGGTGTGTTAGCATTCTCACTACTTTCTGATTCTTTCTTTGTTGATTAGCAGGAACCGATGGCCACAACTGCTGCAAAGTGATTTGGTGATGACCTTTCTTCCTTTTTTTTAATCGGTTGCTCTTCATGAGTTGTTTTGTACTCTTCAGGGCAGGCTAGGTTAGACTGCAGTAACCAACGAACCATGAAATTGCAGTGATGTCGCATGCAATTTCTTGCTCACGTCCAACCGGGTGCAGGGGGTGTCCCGTCCACAGGGGCACGCAGGGATCGAGGCTGGCAGAGGCTCTGTCATCTGGGATATCTCCGATTCAAGGGGAGGGAGGAAGAGACTGCAGGCTCCTGCTGGGGCTGGCTCGCTCTCTGCCTCAGCTCAGAAGTGACGCAAGCCTCCTGTGCTTCCATTTCATTGTCCAGATCTAGGTGTGTGGCTCCATCTAACTGCAAGGAAGCAGTGAAGTGTGGTCTCCTGTAGGCATAGAGAAGAAAGGAGAATGAGGACTAGTGAACCCCCATATCGCCCAGCACTGTTTTAATTACGCAGAAATTGTCTAGATGCTGCATCTAGGATTGATGGGCAACGATATTTTGATCCCATTGGCTAGCACCGGAGCAAAATCTCATAGGAAAAGAATCTTATAAAAAAATTAGCAAAAAATAGCAATCATCATAGTGATACAAAAAAAGCCAACATCCTTACTCGGTTTAAACTTGTATTTTCCACATATCCCTTTGTGGGCATTATTAAACAAACTTGTGATCTTTTAAGTTGTTTTTCTTCTTCATCATTGCTTAGCTGTACTTAGCTGTACTACACGTTCTTCTGCTTCTGTAAATACCAACTACAAAGAATGGCCCCCACTGTGTAGGAAACGGGCCAGGGCAGGGGGCGCCTGGGTTAGCACTTTGAATGTTCCAGGCTCTGTGCAAGGAACGCTCACGTGCTGTGTCCAACTTAACTCTCACTGCGACTCTGGGAAGTTGGTGTTATTTTCCTTCAGTGAGTTGCTTGGTGGCCACTGAATGAGGAGGCAGTCGTGCTGGAACCAAAAATCAAGTGTCTTGAATTCCAAGAGCCGTGTCCTTTCTAGGACAACACTCTAGTACGGAAGGCTTATTTTCATAAGCTAGGTGATGCTCGACTACACCAGGAATCGACAGCCTTAACGCCTGAATATTTGAACTGGAAGAGGCCTGAAAAGAGCCCTCTTAGTCAAATGCCTTTTTTAAAGAGATGAGAAATGGAGCTCAGGAAGCACCAGAGAGGAACTAGATATTTTTCTATATATAGCAGGGCTGTTTCTTAAAAAGAAACGAAAAGAACTCTCGCTCCTGCAGCTAGTCAGGTCTACAAGTTATGTCAACCTACTAATCATTGCCACTGAGGGCAGTGTGGTTCGGCCGAAAAGAGAAATGGATAGGAGGGGGCAGAAGATGTATGTTGAATCTTGTAACTGCTTCTTGTCATTCATTCGACCAAATTACATTGTAACTCTTAGCTCGGGGCCCACTCCCTCCCTCCCGTTCACTCCGGTATTTCAGAGAAATGGCAAACGCGCAGTGAAAAAGAGGAAGAGAGATGCTCTAGACTCCAGAAAGCTCTGACCCTCTGGTCTCATTCTCGGATTCACCAAAATATCAGATTTGTTTGTTTGTTTTCATCACTGTGTAGGGCCTCAAGATATTCTTCCCAAATCTCCAGAACTCATATCCACACGTTTGATGTCAGCTAAACCAGAAATTTGGCCTTTTCTACCCTGTGGCGGGCACATCCTAAGATTCTGTCTTTGAGGGCATCTTCTCCCCAAATCTGGACGTGTGGGAATTCAGCTTTGCCTGACTGCCCCTACCCGCAGCCTTGTCTGGCCACCTGAGCCCTACCACAGAGCTCTAGTGGTAACCAATTTCTTGATGCAAGAGTGAGAACTGCGCATGTGGAGGGGAGGAGGTATGACCTCGTTTTACACAGACCAGAAGAATCTGAGAGTAGTTGCCATGGGTCTGCTGTTATCTTCTCTCCCTAACACGGGGTATCACGTTGCGAGGAGCTGTCAGTGGGGAAGGAGGGGCAACCATGTTCCCAGAACAAGCCCCAAGGTTGGTTGATGTGCACAACTCCATTGCATGGTGCGCTACGTTGGAAGGAGGTATGGGAGGCAGGCTGACAACTAGATGAGCAGACTTGGACACGGAGTTTTCAATAGGGCCTTCACTTTATAACTCAGGAATGGTGGACACACTGGGGGCTAAACCTAAAACTCTGACAGTGGTCTGGATCATTAATGTCTGTGCCAGAGAAGATGGAGACCCCGACGTGTGGGATTCCTGAGGATAATTCACTTCTTTTGCCACAGATGTTGCAACTTGCAACCTCTGCCCTTCCTCTTCCTTAAGGGTCACGGCCCCGCCCAAACCACCCAACAGAACATACGCAGGTCGCATGACCCACCGCCAAAGGAGCAGATGGGTTGGTCCTGAAATTGACCATTTGATTTTCATATAAGGACCGCCTTTGCCAAGAAGACAGAACTGCGGAGGCAGTTTTGAGACGCACGCAGGCACTGCTGCTTGTGGGTGCCTCCGTGGGCAAAGAGAGGCAGGAGGGAGAGCACCTGGCTGTCCCCTGCCAGCTACCAGTAAGGGAGACAGGAAAGAGGAAGGTGGCTCTGGCTTAAAGCCCCTCCATGGCAGGACAGGAGCGTGGGGAGGCCAGGAGCCCTTTGAGGAGTCTTGCGTGTCCCCAGCAGAGAGGGCACAAATGTGTTTGCCTGCTTCCCACCCCTAGAGGCCTGCAGCCTGGGGAACTGCCTGGGTATGGAGGACTGGCTGTGAGCATGGGCCCAGCATCGCTCCTGGACCTTGTGCACTGTGTTTCTGTTTCTGCTGTGTTGTTCTGTGTGTGATGTTTTTGTTTTGTTAAAGCGAGCGTGTCTGGTTGTTGCTTGAGACGGTACAAATGCTGGGGACATTAAGAAGGATGCCATATGAGCAGGGGACGGCCATCCTTAGATGTACCTCTAAAAAACCCCAGACCGCAGAACCTTGTTATGGGCTCATTTTAGATGGACAGAAGAAGTACAAATATAGGTCAAAGGGTGTGTTTATAACTCCTCACTCTCTGGGGCGCCTGGTGGCTCAGTTAAGCATCAGACTCTTGATTTCGGTTCAGGTCATGATCTCCTGGTTTGTGAGTTCGAGCCCCATGTCTGGCTCTGCACTGTCAGCAAGGAGCCTGCTTGAGATTCTCTCTCCCTCCCTCTCTGCTCCTCCTGTGTGCATGCTCTCCC